TTCCCAGATAAGCAGTTATCTCAAGGCTGCACCCTAACTGCCGCTTTCTGCTTCTGTGTGCCCGCTTCCAGCAGCTGCACTCCTTCCTCCTCCTCCTCCTGCCTTTGTCTCAAGAATATAAGCAGGCCCCAGCCTGAGCTCAGAGCCCAGAATTTGGAATTTGCCTCCTCTGGGTCCGTATTCGTGAATAAAACTTCACTTCACAAACCCTGAAGCCATTTGAGTCATCTTTTCTGTAACAATCCTGAGCCTTTTAAGCTGAGTTATGACATCAGTTCACCTCCCCCTGGGAACTTGCACCCACCTGTCACGAGGAACTCAGTCCTGAAATGCACGAGGCGCAAAGCTGTGCTTAACATATGGATGTATGGGTGATTTTCAGTCATGTGTTCAAAGTGATCAGTGGATTGTTTTTACGTGGGTGTCCCTGGCTTTCTAAATGTATGGTCATCCCCAGTCTCATGGACACTCTGACCCAGGTCCCTGGCCCCTCCTCCAAAGGTCAAGGCCACCTCCAATGGCTGGTCCCTGACAGCCCGACCCAGGACAAGCACCGACTCAGGCCCCTCCGGCCCCGCCCCGGCATCTGGTGGCGGAGGTTCTGGACTCTCCGCTGAGGCTGCTCGGTGGGAAAGACGGCGCAGCAAGGCAGGGAGGGGGCGGGACAGACGTCTCACCCGCTGACTCGGCCGTCCTGGGCCTGGTCCCCGAGTTAGGCCAGGTGTCCCGCACCCCAAGAAACACCTGCCAGCACAGGAGGGGGCCGTGTCATTCTGTGCATCGTTTCCACTGTCTGGGACGGGAAGCCTTTGAAACCGAGTGTTCTCCCCAAGGTCTAGACGGGGGGAGAGGAGGGGTCCCCGGTGCCCAGGGAAGAGCCCGTCAGTAACTCTGGTGACTGCGTGGACTTTAACTAACCGCCCCTCTGACGTGTCTGTGTCACTGCGGGGTGACACCCGGGGTCTGGGGCAGGATAAGGGTCCCGGGTTAACAGTCCCCACGCCTGCCCCAGCCTGGGGAGTGACCTCCTCCTTTGGCGCTGCCCCCACCTTTCCCCACCAATCAGCGCACACCCTCCTCACCTGGCCCCGCCCACCGCAGACGTCCCAGGACAAAGGACCCGATGTTCCTGCTGCCCTCTGGGCCCCAGACAGTCCCAAAGCCCGGTTCTCTCGTCACTGCTCCGTCCCCGTGGAGCCGGTTTGCACGGAGCAGATCCCTTCCCTGCCCCCCAGTCTGGGGGTCACTGTTGCTGTGGAATCGGCCGGGACCGTGGGCGCCGGCAGGCAGCTGCGGAAAGGCCTGCGGTTGGCTCAGAGGGTAAATGCAGTGGGAGCCGGGCCCCGCGGCGCAGAGCACTGGGGCTGCACGAGAACTCTCCCTGCCCGTGGTCGGGCCGGGGCGACAGGCCCTTCCCTCCAAGCCAGTCCCACGGGGGACAGGGGGTGACTTTCCTGCCCAGGTCAGGCTGCAGCCACAGAGTGGGGGGAGCCCCTTCTCTGAGGGCCCCCTGCTGTCTCACCGACAGATTCATCCACCGAAGGCTTTGCTGCTAGAGGTCGTATCAGCAAGAGGGACACAATAGACCGTCGCCTGGAGCATCACAGTTACTCTGACACAGAGAAGCCGCTTAGTTCCCAGGCAGATGGGAGCTTCTGGGCAGATGGTTTCTCACCTCTTTAGAGTTTCCCGGGATCCAGGGTCCCAGGTGCAGTTCTCACCCAGACCTATGGGTGGCGCTGGGAGGGAATGGGTGTGAAATGGGACAACAAACAGAGACATAGCCAATTTTCACCTGGGCATTGCAGATCATCTGTTCTGCTCCGTGTGTGACGGGCGTGGGGGGTGAGGAGTGTGGATGGGGCGGTTATTGTGCGCCAAGGCCAGATGCCTTCCAGAGATGTCGTCTCAGCTGCAAGGTGGGCCGTGTCTCACGGAGTCAGGGCACCGGTAAAGGCGGGTCCGGGACCTGAAATGAGGAGCACGTGCCTTCCATCCGAGTCTGTGTGTTTCATAATTACACTGCCCCTGAGGCCATTTGTGGAAAGTGTCCCCAGTTTCAGATGCCCAGGGCCTGCTGAATGTTTGACCCTCTCTGCCCACAAGTCACGCACCTGTTTCACATTTGCACACTTGAAGAAATGGAGTTAGAGACAAAGGCAGCTGCCCAAGCCTCTGGTTACATAAAGAGAAAGCTATAAAGACACACGGAGAGACATTACCATCGCTGTGTATCCTAAAACTCACCTGATCCATTCCGTTACATTGCATCTGAGATCTGTTATTCCCGCTGTGGGATAAAACGCTTTGTCCTCACTTCACTAGACTTCAGGGAAGCCCGCAGTTGGAAACGCATTTTCCGGCGCAGGGGCGTCTTCTCACCCCTGAGGCCCTTCCTCCAGGTCAAGCCCCAGAGTTCACCCTGTCCCCGACACCCTCCCTGGGGAGGGTCAGCGGGAGCCCTTCCTCCTCCTGTTCCTCCCCCACCGTGGTGCTCAGCAAGGCGAGTCAGCTGCTGGGATCCACAGACCACCCTGAATCGACCCCCGAATAATCAGTGGCGAGGAGTTCTACCATCATTAGAGGAAGAATAACTGGACTAACCCTAACTGCATTGGGCGCACGTGTATCAGGTAAGTTGCTGATGCAATCGCGTCATAAAGCAAACCCCGAAATCTCAGGGGATTCTACGGACGTTTCTTTTTCTCTGTCGTGGGTCTGCAGCGCACATGGTGCAGCTGGGTCGGCGGGCTCGCTGGGGCCTGGCTGATGGGGGGCTGCAGGTCGGGTCCCGTCAGCTCCGTGGGTGTCTCCATTCCGGGGTCCCGGAGCTACAGGACACGGGCGCCATCTCTCTCCCCAGTTTTTGACCCTCTCTGCATCCGATCAGTGTCCCCCAGCTCCTCCTCCCGACCCCTGTTCCTCCCACTTCTCAGAGGAAGATATTGAGGCTCTTCCGCCCCCTAGTGGTCGCCGCGCTTCACTGCAGACCGTGAGCCTCGGAACTGCGTGCGCGCTCTGTCCACCGGGGAGTCCCGCCAGGTTCCCACAAGTTTGTGTAATATAAATGCAAATCGTTTTTTAAAACTGCGATACACGGTGAGGAATACAGTTTATATTGGAACCGAGGAGACACACTCAGATATATATATATATATATATACACACTTTGTGGTCTCATAGTTGAACTCGAGTTTCTCACATAAACGTCGCTCACTGCGCAGTGTGTGCATGTCCCCCACCAGCGGCGCAGGCCCTGCAGGTGGCGCTGCTCCGGGAGGACCGTCTGTCCGCGGAACGCGGCGCCCCCTGGCCTGCGGGGCTCTGCTCTGCTTGTCCAAGGGAGAGAACTTCGACACTCAAAAAATGAACTTCAAATTCTAGTTTTTGATATGGGTTTTCAAAAATAATTCTGAAAGCTAAAAATCCACATATTTCTCTTCGTATTAATGCTGTCTCCCTCCCGTTTCCCTTGGAGACAGAAGCGGGTCAGTCCCGTGTTCTGGCCAAAAGCACAGACGACAGAAGCTCCACTTGCGTGTCTGCGGGAAGGCCCTCCGCTGATTTGCCTGCGCGCTGATGCCATCTCCTCTGACAGCCTCTCCTCCGAGCTCCTTCATTCCGTGTTTTAGCCGCACACGGCGAGGGGCGGGGAAGGACCCCGGTTACTTACTGAGGGCGGCAGGGGTGGGAGCCGGGGCTCTCCACCACACCCTGCGGGGTCAGACCGTGTTACTGGGGGAAACAACTGTCCAGGCCTCACGCCCTGCAGACAGAGTAACTGCTGGGGAGGCAGAGAGGCTGGGGCCGCTGCAGCCACAGCAGAGGATGCTGGTGGGGTGGGGGGTGGGGGAGAGGTTGGGAACAAAGGCTCCGGTTGCCCTGGGCGGCTGCTCCAGGTTCCTGCTGGCTGAGCTGCGCTGTCACCCTTGTAGAAAGGGGCTTGTCTGTCACCTGGAGGCAGACTCCCCTCTATGGACGGTGGGGGGTGAGCCTCTCTCTCTTCAACTGCTGAGCACCATCCGTCTCAGGCAGACGCAAGTTAAACCGTTGCACCAAGTGGTTTCACAAACTGCCCCTGGAGAAGAGGCTGCTCTCACTGGGGGAGCTCTGACTCGGGTCAGAGGAAGACCAGGGTTGGAGGTGAGGGCTTCCAGGGAAGCAACAGACAGGACACACAGGGACAGTCCCTGGACCTGGGTTGATAATGAGAAGGGACAGACAGGGACAAAATAAGGAAGAAGGGAATTCTCACACAGTAAATTCCCCTAAGCAGAAATTGAAACCAGACATTATCTATTTATCTGGACTTTGAATTTTAAGATGCCTCTCGCTCTGTTTTACTCTCAAGGCTCTGGTGCTGCAAGTGAAGAAGGTTCTGGAACAGATCAGTGACCTCAGTGACCTCACGGGGTGATCTGACCACAGACCCCTCACTGGGCAGGTCAGGGTGGGAGTCAGGCCGGAGGCCAGCACGTCTTCAGTAAGAGGTTTTCTTCACCTTCAGCAAACCCTGTCCACTGCCCTCGGGCCCCTGGATTAACCTGTGTTTGACGGGCCAGAGGTCACCCTGTTCCTCAGACCCTGGGAGAATGGCCGCCCTCCAAGGAGCTCGGGGTCTTGGTCCCTCTCCTCTCTCCCTCCATTCTGGCCCCCTTACATCCCCCTCAGTGCACACTCAGAGAGAAGCTGCCCACCTGTCGTTCCCCAGAGCGGTCAGGTCCTCCCCCCACGACGGCAGTCGGCCTCAGATTAACTCTCATGAAAACTCTCTGCAGGATTCCACGTTCCCACGTCCACAGACACGAGCATCCAGGCTTCTGTTAAGCCAGACGTAACAAACTGAACAATGGCACTAGCGTTAATTTTGCTTCTCAAAGAAGTTATTTTTCACAAAACATGTTATTTACAATAGCATGTGATCAGTTAATCACTATAATTTAAATATATATTAATAAATATGTCTTCAAAGCTTTTTCAGTCCAATATAGTAAATACTGTCAGATGTAAGGGAAATGACCAAAACCTCTCCAGAGTGCTCAGTAATTCTCAAGTTTTTTAATGCATCCTGAGAACAAGAGCTGGAAAATGCTGGCCTCCCCACCCACCCTGACCTTGAATGAACGTGGTTCACACTCACCTGCTCAGCCAGGACCTTAAACCTGGGGCCATCCCCACTGTCCCAGAGATTTACTGCAGGGACACGTGAGCCAGGTCAGATCCGGGATGTCCTTGTCCATTATCCTTCTGTCCTTGTCTGTCATTCGTCTGCACCTGGAGCTCTGCTGCGAGGGCTGGAACTCTGGGGGATGGTGGGGATGGCCCTTCTGGTGCTGGACCCCTGGCTGTGTGGGGGGCCACCATACGAACAGCGTGGGCCGTCCCAGCTCTCAGTCCCCCTTCCTCCACCTCTGACCTCCAGTGGTGGCTCTTCAGGCCCTCAGATCCTGGTGCATCCTGCTGTCCTCACCCCGAGTCCACAGTGTCTGGTGTCACCTCAGGTCCCATGCTGACAGGTCACCCTGATGTCAGAGCAGCAGGCTGTCAGCCTGTTACTGTCCCACATTGTCCTTGGTTGGGAGCCACATGGTAGTACTGGCTCCCCTGAGACTGGCCCCTGCCCCGTGGGGACAAGCTCACCAGCTGCTAGAGCAACAGCCTGGGGGGGGGGATGGGCTGGAACTGGAGAGGGGTCCCAGGCCTGTGGGGCAGGTTCTCTGGTGTGCCCAGAGGGAGGGGCCGAGTCCTCTGGGTGCTGTGCTGTGTGAGCAGAGATGGCCAGGGCTTCTCTCCTGGGCTCTGAGACCAGGGTGCTGCTCCTGGTGGCTGCGGTGGGTCCCTGCTCCATGGAGAACCAGGCCACCCTTAGGCACAGTGACCCCCTGGGCCCCCGTGAATGTTGGGCAGAGGAAGAGGGGGCTGTCATCAGACCCCCGCCTGAGGAAGGGCCTCAGGGGCCCCGAGAAGTGGGAGCGGGGACACGTGTAGATGTGGGACCGATCCCTCATGTTGTAGAAGGAGACGTCTCCACATTCGTAGTCCAGGAGGACGGCCCCCCGGCGAAGGCGCTCCTTCAGGGGAAGGGTCTTCTCCGGAGAGGACAGGACCTGGCACTGGTGTCCAAACAGCTCCAGGGTCCAGAAGCCATTCTGAGGGACCAGCAGGGCCTCCCCCTTCCTCTGCACACGGTCTGCACAGACCCCCACGGCCCACACCATCGCATTTCCTACCTCCACCTCCCAGTAGTGTCTCCCCGAGGAGAAACTCTGCACACCCAAGACGCATGGCCAGCAGTCGAATCTCTCGGGGTTGTCGGGCAGGCTCTGCCTGGAGGGGCCCCGCCACACCCTCCTCTGGTCCTGGGACAGGAAGAGCTCGGGGTGGGCGGTGTCTGGGTCCAGGAGCACGTCAGCTGCACAGGAAGTCTGGGGCTGAGGCCTCGGTGCTCAGGGGGACCTGGGAAGCCGGGGGAACAAACCCATGGGGTGGGACCTCCATGAAGGCCCCGTGACCCCAGACCCCAGGCAGCTCACTGAGGAGAGCCCCTGAGGCTGCATGTCCACCTGCTGAGTGAGGGGGTGGGGCCTCAGGGAGAGCACACCTGGGCACTGAGTGAGCAGAGAGTTTAGCAAAGGGGCTGAAGTTAATGTCTCCCACTTTCTCTCCACATCCTGAGATGTGCCCCCTTTTCTATTACAAACAGATGATCTCTGGGACTCTGTTTGGTTGCAGACTTCCCAAACCGGCTTCATTCCTGAGAGACCCTGTCCCCTCTGCCTCCCCGTGAAGCACTTCGGGCCACTCACCTGCGCCCAGAACACGGGACCTGCTGCCTCACAAGGAGACCCCGACCCCCTAGTCAGTGACGTCAGCTCCATCCTCTGTGCCCCTTGTTCTTGCCCCAAACTCCTCAGGGAGAGGGTCCTCTGCGGGTGAGGCCCTACTGCCCCCTAATTCATGGGTGGTTTTCTTTTGAACAAAGGATGTCAAACTCATTAACAAATACTTTCATTTTTGTCACTTGACAGGGCTGGGGAGACAGAAGAGCAGAAACACCTACAGTTTCCGTTGGAAGGACCAGATGAATGAAAATCAACAACTGTCACCGTCCCCACTGAGCCCCCATCTGTGTCACCTGGTTACTGCAACCCTCTCCCCCATCTTCTGCCGACATCTGTGCAATGTGTCTTCACACAGCTCCCTCCTCCAGGTCACCTTGCTGCTCTGCTCCAGTCCCGGCCAGGACTCCTGTCTCACTGAGACTCCACCACAGGCTCCCTGTCACCTGCTTTGCCCTGTCCGGTCTGGGCCCCTTCCAGGTCTGCACCCCCCTCCTCCCATTCTCCCTGCACTCAGTCCCTCCCCCCCACAACTGCCCCTCGGGTTCCTCGAAACTGCCAGACGTGCTGCTGCCTCAGGCCCTGGGCCCCTGGCCCAGGCTCCGGGCCCCTGCCCGTCCTGCTCCCTGGTGCTCACCCCTCACGTGCCCTGTTGCCACCTTTTTCTAAAAATATATTTTATTTATTATGCTATTATAATTGTCCCATTCCCCCCTTTATTTCCCTCCACACTGAACTCCCCTACCCACATTCTCCTTCTTTAGTTCATGTTCATGGGTCATACATATAAGTTCTCTGGCTTCTACATTACCTATACTGTTCTTAACCTGCCTCTGTCTATTTTCTACCTACCATTTATGCTACTTTTTCTCTGTACTTCCCTTCATTCCCCTCCCCACTGATAACCCTCCATGTGGTCTCCATTTCTGTGATTCTGTCCCTGTTCTAGTTGTTTGCTTAGTTTGCTTTTGTTTTAGGTGTGGTTGTTAATAATTGTGAGTTTGCTGTCATTTTACTGATCATATTTTTAATCTTCTTTTTTCTCAGAAAAACCCCTTTAATGTGTCATATAATAAGGGCTTGGTGGTGGTGAACTCCTTTAACTTGACCTTATGTGAGAAGCACTGTGTCTGCCTTTCCATTTTAAATGAAAACTTTGCTGGATAGAGTAACCTTGGATGTAGGTCCTTGCCTCTCATGACTTGGAATACTTCTTTCCAGCTCCTTCTTGCCTGTAAGGTCTCTTTTGAGAAATCAGCTGACAGTCTCATGGGAACTCCTTTGTAGATAACTGTCTTCTTTCCTCTTGTTGCTTCTAAGATTCTCCCCTTATCTTTAATGTTGGCTAATGTAATTATGATGTGCTTTGGTATATTCCTCCTTGGGTCCACCTTTGGGGCTCTCTGAGTTTTCCAGACTTCCTGGAAGTCTATTTCCTTTGCCAGATTGGGGAAGTTCTCCTTTATTATTTGTTCAAATAAATTTTCAATTTGTTGCTCTTCCTCTCCTCCTTCTGGCACCCCTATAATTCAGATTTGGAATGTTTAAAGATGTCCTGGAGGTTCCTAAGCCTCTCCTTATTTTTTTGGATTCCTGTTTCTTCATTCTTTTCTGGTTGAATGTTTCTTCCTTCTGGTCCACACGGTTGATTAGAGTCCCAGTTTCCTTCCCATCACTGCTGGTTCCTTGTACATTTTCCTTTATTTCACTTAGCATTGCCTTCATTATTTTCATCTAATTTATGACCAAATTCAACAAATCCTATGAGCATCCTGTGAGCATTACCAGTGTTTTGAACTGTGTATCTGATAGGTTGGCTATCTCTTTGTCACTTAGTTGTATTTGTTCTGGTGCTTTGATCTGTTCTTTCATTTGTGGTATATTGTTGTTGTTTGTCTGGGTGCCTGCTTTGTATAAGGGCCAGAGACTTAGGTGTTTGCCAGGGCCAGGCAACCCACGTGGCTGCGTTGTGATGCTGTGTGGGGGAGAGGGTCCAAGAGAGAACAATTGTGCTAGCTCTGTTCTCTGCCGGTTTTCAGTCACTTCTCTTGCTACCCAAAAGCAAAGTGGGCCCTTCTGGTGCTGATTCCCAGGTGGGTGGGTTTGTGTATGTTCTAGGACCCTGTGGGTCTCTCCATGAACTATTCTGTGAGGCTTGGAGTCTCTCCCACTGCTGTCTCAACCCACCAGGTGTTTTCAATCAGAGGTTCGAGGCTTTATTTCCCCGCACTGGGGCCCTGGGTTGTGCAGTCTGTCCCGTTCCCCAGGTGTTCCTCCCAGTTTATCTGCATGTGAATGTGGGACCACCCAGTCCACTAGTGGCCGCCTCGCCTGCCCGGTCTTCCACCACCGCTTTACTGAGAGTCCTCTCCGCCCAGCTGCCCGTCTCCATCCCTCCGACCCATCTGGATGGAGGTTTCTTCTTTAACACCTTGGCTGTTGGACTTCCATACAGTTCAATTTTCTGTCAGTTCTGGCTGTTTTTTTGTCTTTAAATTGTTTTTCTCCTTCTTTTGCTTGTGCGAGGACTCACAGTGTGTCTACCTACACCTCTATCTTGACCAGAAGTTCAAACTCTGTTGTCACCTTTTCAGTGAAGCCTTCCCTCACCTTTCAGGTTACATCACAGCTCCCCTGCCTCTAGCCCTTCACACACTCTCCCCGGATTAATTTTTCTAAGCACTCATCATCATGTGACATAATACTTTAATTAATTATGTTACTACTGACTTTAGTTAAGTATTTTATAGATTAATTTCTGTTTCTCTACAATGTGAGCCCCATAAGGGAAGCGGTGTTCATGCATTTTTTTCCCTGATTTATCTCCTGTTTCTAGAACTGAGCCTTGAACATATGTGATTCTTGCTAAGTGTTCATTGAATGACTTTATGAGTGTCTGTAGATGTAGACTTTCCCAGCTCTGTGCTTGGAAAACCCCACGGGCAGAAGGGGAGACTTCAGCATCAGCACCACCAGGTGCAGACAGCCCCCTGCCCCCACCACTCTCCACGGTGTGTGATTGTTCTGAACCCACAACCGTAGCTGCAGCATCAGAAACACAACAGGAAAAATGACCAGATTTACCCTCAGAGAAGAGGCTCCTCCTTCTGGGATGTGAGACTCTGTGATGCTCCCTGTGAGGAGGGGAGAGGCCTCAGCTCAGCTGAAGCCTGAGCTCCTCAGGGCCCAGGACCCTCCCAGCCCTGCCCCTCCCCCAGCCCCACTCAGGCTCCCAACTGTCTGCTGAGGGTCCTGTGTCCATGGGCTGGGCCCCCAGAGGGCAGGGAGCTGACCTGGAAGGAAGACCCCAGAGCCCCTCTCCTGGCCCAGCAGATGTTACTGACGGAGCAGGGCTTGTCCTCACAGAGCTGTCCCTGATGGTCACGGCCATGGTGACCCTGCAGAGGCCGTCTGTGTCCTCGGTGTGAGCCTCCCCCAGGGCGGGCATGAGCTCACCATAGGGGTCCCCACACACTGCTCGGGGCTCTGGGTACCACCCTGTGGAGGTGCATCTGACCAGACACCCCCATCCTTATGGCCCTTCATTTCAGTGAGGGGCAGACCCTACATCTGAGAACAAACAAACATGTCTAAAATGTCTATTTCTAATGCACATGGCAGTCAAGGACCCTTAGAGATCTCTGAGCAGCAGCAGGGGCTACTCCGTGGGGTTCCACCGTCTCCCCTGCTCACAGCCCCGCTGAGCTCACTGTGCTTCTCAGGACTCGATCCGCTCACTCAGCCCTCAAGCAGGGGAGGCCACCTGTCAGGGTAGAGGGGATCCTAGACAAACACATGCTGGTCTGTGGGGGTCCTGAAGTGCCGAGAGAAACTATTCCCAAGGGTCACACCGTGAAAAAGTCACCAAAGAGAAACAAGGGACCTGCCCCCATCAGGCACAGAGTGGCCTCATCTCAGGACGTGGCTGGTTGGGAATGACAGTGGTGGATGGCACTGTCCTGGGCTGTGACACCGTGAAGGAGCAGGGCCACCCTCCCCTTGCTCACAAAGTCGTTTGTCCTCGGCACTGTCTCCACTGGACACTGCAGGTGGCGCACGAGCAAGGGTCCCACCAGCAGTGACTCCACCCCTGGGACCCTGTCCCCATGTCACTCCCTTCACCTGACTTGTTCCCCCACATCTGTCCCTGCGAGAACGACCCCAGATGTTCCCAGCCTGGAGGGTCTCAGCCCTTCTGACAGCAGCAAGAAGGGCCGCCTGGGTCCCGTCACTGCAGGGAACTCAGCTCTGCCAGCAGCCAGGGTCAGCAGCACAGACTTGGCCCTGGGTCACCCCCAAAACAACAAACAAACAAACAAACAAAGAAGGAATAGCAGCCTGCAGACACCTTAAACACAGTCTGGCGAGAGCCGTGCTGGATTCTGACCCAGAAAACTGTGAGATAACAGATTTGTGTTGCATTAGGTCATGAAATTTATACTATTACAGCAAAATAGAAAGTTAACCCAATAAAGGTTGAGAAACAATGTGCCCAGGAGGTAAACTGTGAACCTGGTGAGTCATCCATGGGGTTAGATCTAGAAAGAGCTCTGTCAAAGGGTGACAATTATTGACACATTTATTTAACACAGGTGACATGACACCTAAATGGCAGGGGAGGGGACACATGGTGAACAGTCACAGTGACGATGATGAGGAAGAGCGGCCTTTCCCCAGGACCCACAGGTGACAGGAACCTCGGGAACCTGAGTGGGTGATCAGCGGTGGGCCTCCCTGTCCTGCACGTGGGTCCCACCGTGTGATGAACCTTCCACTGACGTCTGTCTGCCCCTCCCCCCACCGTCCTGCTCACAGAGGACCTTCAGGTGGGAGGTGGGAGGGTGGGTCTGCTCTGTGCCCACAGGTCACAGGCTGGTTCAGAAAGTGGCCGCTGGTCCCTTCTCAGCCTGTGTGATGGGATCACTGTGAGTTCACCCTCTGGACCACGGTGTCCTGCAGAGCCCGTCAGTGAAGGGTGGACCTTGGCTCTGACAGTTGACCTTGGAGGATCGAAGTGGGATGTGGCCTTTACCTGCAGTGACCTTTACCCTTGGTGTCCTGGGAGGGACCCTCAGGGCTGCCCATGACCCTGCCCAACAGGACAATCAGCTGCAAAGGGACAGACCAGAGGGAGGGGGAGGGGCAGGGGATGGACATCATTCAGCACTAAAATCTGAGTGAATTATGTACCTCAGGGAACTGCTGCTGCCTCAGTTTCCACACTTTCTAAATGAGGCTGCCTCACAGGGTGGTTGTGAGGATGAGTGAGTGAGATTCACCTGAAGCAGGTAGCACAGCACTAGTACATGTGAAGTCACCTATAAATGTCAGCTCTGGTTGTTCGAGGCCCCTGAGTCACCTTTGGAAAGTTAACTCACTGTCTGCACTGTGGTCTCCTCGTCTCTCGTGTGGAAACATTGAGTGAATGTTAGTGAAGTCCGTCACTCAGTGTGATTTTAGTGTTTTTTTGCTGAGAGGTTTGCTGTTCAGGAGGCCCTCAGCTCCAGGCTGGGCAGCAATAAGCAGAGACGTTTCTTCAGCCTGAGGGTCCCCATTCCCAGCAGCTGAGCCCGGGGACACTGGGGTCTCCAGGGAGGGGTCAGGCTTTGGGACAGACACGAAGGACCTCCCCACTGCTTCCTGTGCTGGGCAAATGGTCAAGGGAGTGGGATCAGTTGTCCAAACCCAGAAAACAGGCCTCAGAGGCCCAGAGAAGTGGGTGTGTGGGAAGGAGAAGATGTGAGACCCGTCGAGGGCATTGTAGAACGAGACCTCCCCCAGCTCACAGTCCAGGAAGACCCCCACCCTCTCAGGGGGGCTCACACAGGTCAGTGGGGTCTGTGGGTCGGTGAGAGCCACGTGCTCATTCCCAGGATTCAGCCCCACTGTCCAGAATCCATTCTTGGGGGCCATTTTAACAACCTTTTTTCTCATCACACTCTCCCTGCACACCCCAACACGCCAGTCTTTTCTGCCCCCCACGTCCACCTCCCAGAAGTGTCTCCCAGATGTAAATCTCACACAGCCCAGCACACAATGATTCCCACAAAATCTCTCGGGGTTTTCTGACAGGTTCTGCTGTGTGAATGATGGCTTCAGGCTCCTCTTGTCCTCAGAAACCTGGAGGTCAGGATACGCCGTGTCTGGGTCCAGAAACACATCCGCTGCAGGGGGTTCAGAGGGGGTGGGGTCAGCCGTGGCTCCTGGACATCAGAGTCTCAGCCTTCAAGGCCTGAGTCTGGGCAGGAGGCCCAGGCCCACAGTCCGGGGTCCCCAGCCCACCCTGGACGTGACCCTCAGCTGTGCCAGGGACTCTGTAGGGGTCTTGTGTTTGGTGAGGGAGGGGAGGTTGAGGAGGGCTGGGATCTACCATTTTCCTGTTTCTGCCCCAGAATGTCTGAGCCCACCTGTACATGGATTAAAGGTCAGCCCTGGCTCTGCCCCCTGAGCTGGGTGACGTCCTTTCCTGCACAGTGTCTCTTTCCACAGACACCAGCTACGGAATATCTCAAGTTCAATTTCCTGTCTGTGAAGTGGGGGTAAAACACTGATCTCTGGGGAGGAATAGGACAAATGGGTGGTAAACTGAGCCCCAGGCCGGGCACAGAGGAAGTGCCTGGTGTGACAACAGACACCGTGTCCCTCCTGTGCTCGGGGCCAGGCTGGGGGCTCCAGGTGCTCTGGGGGTCCACTCCCCACCTGTCCCACCCCCTCTGGCCCAGGACTCAGTCCTCCATGGACAGCACCCCTGGGCCCCTGGGCTCTGGTTACTGTGGGGTTTGGCCAAGGGGAGGCGCAGGCTGGACACGGGAAGGAGGGAGGAGAGGGGTCATAGTGCTGACCCCCACGTCCCCCAGGGAGATGCTCCACCACAGCACCTCCCCCCAGAGCACCCCCCTAAGCCCCAGCTGCCTCACTGTCCTCAGCCAGCACACCAAAGCCTCCAGGTGACAGTCATCCGTGTCCCTTAAACACGGCCATGAGCACTTTTCTCACTAACAGCCAGAGTGACGGGGCACCGAGGTCAACTCCACACTGGGGATCATGTGCGTTATAAAGAGTCACCTGTCACAGGACCACCGGGAGGTGTGGTTGGTGCTGCCCCATTCTTTGTCCCTGTTCCTGTCAGTCATCAATGCCCGAGTTACAGTGTGAGAAAGTGCTGTAAGGGGTGTGAGGTCAGGGGATAATCTGTGCAGGTTGTGGGGTCCTCTGTCCTCTCTGACCCTGCACCCCTGGGAGTGAATCACCCTACAGCACAGTCTGTTGCAGTCTGAGGAGTTGTCTGCATCGTTTTTAGGTCGTAAGACACCTTCTCCTCACTGTGGTCATAACTGTCAGAAAAACACCCTCTTCAAACAGGCCGTCTGTTTCCTGTGGGTGCTCTGACAACACACGGTCACCACCTCACTCGGTCCTTGTCCCAGCCCTCGCAGAGCAGCAGTGACTGTGGAACACGGCAGAACTTGGGGACACACAGGGGCAGGAGGGCAGGAGCTTGGTCAGGTCCCCCCTCCCTCTCCCTGCAGCCCCTCCCTCCAGCCCCCCACTCCTGCCTCTTCCTCCCACAGAGACCTGTGGACCCCAGGACACCTGCTGTGCCTGCTCCCTCGGCTCTGGGCAGCAGGTGGACACACCTTTGAGACCACAACCTCAGGTCACCTCCCTCAGGCAAGAACTGGAGAGGAAAGAGGGAGCAGGGGCCCTCGGGGGTTGTCCTGGGGACACAGAGGGACCCACTCACCAGGCTGGAAGAGGGCCATCTTCAACTCTGGAAGGAAGAAGACACAGACAAGGAAAGGTCATTCTTTCTGTCCCCCCCCCCACCCACTGTCCTCACTGAGCCTCTTTTCTCTCCTCCTCTCTGTCCCCTCCAGCGTCCACTCCCCTTGTCTGCAGCTCTGCGGGCCAGGCTGAACCCTCTCCCAGTGCTGGGCTTCCCCCCATCACGCTGGGGCCGTGGGGACATGACCAGGCTGTGCCGGGTGTGGGCGTGGGTGTCAGCAGGGTGAGGGGACACTGGGTCTGGAAGGTCCTCTCTGAGTGACCAGACAGGAGGGGGTGGTGCAGACACAGAGAATGAGCCTCTGAGCCGGACGGGACGGCCCCTCCCGGAGCAGGAAAGGCTGCACGTGCTTCCCCCACAGGAGCCGGGAAACCAGAGAGCCTCAGGCTCACTCACCTGCATAGACCTGAGACCGCTCCTCACCTGCAGTGGAGACAGACGGTCACCTGAACTGTCCTTTCTGAGTCGGTTCCTTCCTCTCCCTTGTGCCCCCCTGTCATCTCCCTGTGTGCCCCCCACCCTCCTCACCTCCCCCTCTGCCTGGTCCCTCCCCGGCACCCCCTCCTCTTTCCGTCAGCTGCAGCTCAGGACCCCCAGGCGCCCTGCACGGGCTGTCCCAGGGTCACCGCACAGCTGTCCTGTCCGTGTCTGTGCAGCAGTCACCTCTCATCCCTGCTTTAGCTTCTGAAGTTTCAGTTACCTTCTGTCAACCACGGTTGGGGATAGTGAATAAAAGTTGCAGAAACAAACAATTCACAAGTTTTAAATTGCACATCAGTCTCAGCAGGGTCACCGCACAGCTGTCCTGTCTGTGTCTATGCAGGAGGCACCGCTTATCCATGGTTTCTTTCCAAAGTTTCTGTTACCTTAGTCAACTGTTCTGGGGAAGTGTTCAATGGAAAATTCCAGAAATAAACAATTCACAAGTTTTGAACTGAACGTCAATCTGATCAGCATGATGGTTTCCTGTGCCATTTGTCCCATCCTGCCTCCTTGTGAATTGTCAGTTAGTGCAAAACCTCGACCCTGCATGCTGCCCCCTGCCCCCTAGTGACTGAGGATTCTCTGTGACAGATGGAAGGTCACAGCAACACAGCACTGTGTTCAGTCACCGGTATTTTACGTAGTAACGTCCCCAAGCACAAGAGCAGTGATGCTGCAGTGCTGGTGTGCCAATGATGTGCCTTCCATTGTGTGAAAAGGAAGAACTTCGCATAAGCAGGCTTTGGTACTTTCTGTGGCCTTGGACTACGTCCCCCTGGGACAAGCGGTGAACAACTTACTTCCACACCTGGACATTGCCTCGCCCTGTGCACAGGTGAGTGCCTGCTACAGTCCACCCACTTCAGCGTGATTATTTCCTACCAGGTTCTGAAAACAGGCGGCCAACATAATCAGAACATTTCAGATAGTATTTTTTCAGCCCTGACGATAAATCTGTGACAACTGACACTGGCCACTCCTGTTCTTAAATGACAGTTTTCTCCCTCCTTTTGCTTTTCTTCTCAGTGGACTACAGATTTTGTGAAGCAAGTGGGAAGGACAAACACTCTGAGTCACCTCCCTCCCCTCTCCTTTCTGGGGTTCCCAGGGTGTCCCGTGTGAGTGCCCCCTGGAGGACAAGGACGGCAGCCCCTTCCCCACTGAGACAGACCACTGCCTGGTCCCACCCCCATCAGCGCTCTTGTTTCTTCCCCTGGGCTGTTACGGGGTAGGAAAGGGGCTGAAATATCGGAGCACAGGGGCTGAGATGTGGATCCAGGTACTCACGTGGTCGGTACCAGGTCTTTGTCCACCCTGCAGGGAACAACGTGAGGGATCTGTGATGCGCATAATGCAAAGACCCCAGGACCCGCAGGGACGGCTATCGGCTATGGGGACTTACGGAGTTCGTACTGCAGGCGCTCTGGAAATAAACAGGAAAAAAACCCCAAAAAACTCCTGTCATGGGGATTGAGGGGAGTACCTGTGTGATGGGTGGTGGGCGTGGGCTGGGGCAGGATTTGGCGCTCTCCCGCGGCGGGGCCTCACCTTTGTGGCTTTGCTCCCTCTGCAGCTCTGCCCTCATCGCTTCTTTCTCCGCCTGCGCTGCTGCTTTCTCAGCTCGCTCCCTCTCCTTCTCCTGGGACAGGGCCTGGATCTTCTTCTGCTGTCGCCTCAGGAAGTAGCCGGCCCCCGCCAGGAGCCCCAGCAGAGCCGGCAGGGTCAGGCCCAGGGCCACCATCCAGGGCTGCGCGTTCCGGAAGAAGGGGCCTGCGAAGGGTGAGCCTCAGCTGAAGGCCACCCTGGGTCTCAGAGTATCTGGGGACTGAGAACAATCGTTCTCCCCCCAAAGTGCCCAGAATTATTAGAGTCACATAATAAGTACAGTTTTCTTGAAATGTCTGCCCCTCACATGAGAGAAGTTGGAATATCAAGATACATTTACAAAGTTATTAAAGGTTCTCTCCACTCCCTCAGTCCCCATTTATTAGCTTCTCCTGAGTCAGCTGATCTGGTGATGAAGGTGGTGAACTTTGGGGCTGGAGGGTCTGGGTTCAGATTCAGTCTTCTGCCTCACTAGCTCTGTGACCTTGAACTAACAACTTAACCATCTGTTCCTGGTGTCCACATTAGTAAAAGGAGTAAATTAATGCTTATAAAGTACCTGGCACACACTGAAACCTGGATGTGTTTATTAAATTAAAACATATATATTCTTATATATTTTTCTTCACACCAAAAATAGCAGTCTATACAAACTGTTCACCCTGGGTCTGCACAACCTTCCCCCCTCAGCACAGGGGGCAGGTCTGTGTCTGCTCTCACAGGGCAGCGCCCCCTGCACACACGGCCCCTCGGGGGCGCTTGCACCGTCTCTGACTCTTTGTTAAAATGGTTAATGATACAGGAAATAACCTTTTACATGGTTCATTTCACACAAACACAGGCTGGTCTGCCAGACTCCAGAAGCTGGAGTTTGGACCAATGATTAAGTATGTTGAATAACAAATGCTTTATTACCCCGAGAGAAGGTGTGAAAATATATTCCAAAAATATACCCAATAACAGCCACAGACATCTGAGAGTGACTGTCTCCCCACAATCCCACCATCAAGGGCCTTGTTTTGTGTTTTGTAGCCGATCTCACAGTGAGATTCCGCATCATTTCCAGAGTCATTTCCTTTTCTGAACTGATCATTCCTGTTCTTTGCTTGTTGTTCTACTGCGTTGTTTTTTATTTTAAGGAGATCAGCCCTTTTTCTAACATTTGCATTGTACATATTTTTCCCTTTTCTCATGTCTTTGCTGACCTTGACTCTTTGTTCCCAGTCCCCATCCCCTGGCACCGTGTGTGGCTGCAGGAAGAGCTCAGAAGGTGTCTGTGACACAAACAGCTTCATGGGGAAGGAGCAGCAGGTCCCTGCTCTGTTCCTTCTGTTCCCTGCACAGACCCAGGTCAGCAGCAGACAACCACACCTTCCCCCGGGGGCCACCCAGGAGCCCAAGGCAGCAGGCAGGGCACTCACCTGCAATGGATACCGTGGCTGATGACCTCTCCTGGCCCAGCAGGGGGTTTCTGATGACACAGGAGACGCCCTCCCCAGAGCTGCCTCCCAGGATCACAGAGGCTGAGGCTGCATAAAGGCCCTGGGGGTCTGCAGCCTCTGTGGCCACCTCAGCAGACAAGCTGTGTCCCCTGGTGTCTCTCCACTGGATCTGGGGCTGCGGGTACCAGCCGGCAGACGTGCACTCCACACGGATCCCTCCAGCCTCGTAGCCCTTCATTTCAAAGTGGGGGTCAGAGCCCAGCGCTGGGGAGGAACAGTGAGCCTGAATCCTGGGGAGCCCTCTGCACTGGTGGGGGTCTCCACAGCAGGGAGGGGCATGCACCCTGGATGAGCCCAGCAGGGATTCACAGGAGCTGCTCCCAGAGTGTGCTGTGCAGGAGAGACTGACCCACAGGGTGACCACTGCCTGACCATCGCTGGACCCTGGTGCTGGATCCAGGGGGATCTGGGCTGGAAATGACTTTGTTTCCCCTAAATCCCCTTACAGACTGCTGGACTCTCCCCTCCCCCATGGCCCATACAAGCTGGTTCCGGGAACAGCCCCTCACCCCACCCTGGGCAAGCATGTAAACGGTTCCCCTTTAGCAGAAACAGATCCCACCCCAGTGCCCCATCCATCCCGCCTGTCCTGTGTGAGCCTCAGCCCTGCCGTGTGGAGGAAGGATCTGCACCTCGTCTTGCTGCCCCAGCTGTGTGCTGTATGCTTGTCCCTGTGGGAAACTCTGATGTAATTAATGCTGCAGGTGTCAGCCTCCTTTGGGGCCCCTCCACCGTGGGAGGTTTCCGTCACGTGACTGTGGAGAGGGGAACACTTCTCCACAGAGGAGCGCTGACCCAGGCAGGAACTGTGGGGTTTTACTACCTGACACTGAATCCCTAAACACAAGGGGAGCAGGGGGAAGCCCCTTACAGACCTGAGAGGACAGAGTCCTGTGGGGAGGACTCTCTTCAAAGGACCTGTGGTCTACAGGGAGGGACAGTGTCTGGCTCAGGAGCCCCTGCAGGGACAAAGCCAGGACCCCCCACAGTCCATCCCCTGCCGGGCTCCCCCGGGACCCACCAGGCAGAAGCCCAGGGCAGGGCTGTGTCCTGAGAAGGTGAAGTGCAGCCCTGACACCCGGACACGAGCACTTTCACGGGGCAGCACCTCAGACAAGGTCACTCTGTCCCTGGGACGGGTCAGGACAAAGTCAGGACCACTCAGCAGTCGGTCTGAGCACAGAGGAAGCAGGAACAGTGTGCAGACCACAGCAGTGACCACCCTCCCCTGTCCTGGCTGGGAGTGACCCATGACACCCCTGCACCTTCCTGACAGCATCCAGCCCAGAGCAGAGCCCTGCTTCCACGTCCCCCCAAGTCCCCTGACAGCCCAGGGGTCACACCCTGTGCTCCCTGACACCCCTCTCAGAGACACCCCGGTTTCCTCCCCTGTGCGTCCCCCCTCCATGCTCCAGGGATGGACACACCCTGTTCAACTGCACGTGTGTCCCGGGGCCTTTGGTTGGAGGGTGTGGGCACCACAGGTGTTGTCCCTGCAGCTCAGCCCCTGGACCCACAGCAGCGGGCACCTGGGGGCCCACGGCCACTGTCTGGGACACACTGAACCCAAACACCTGTGTGCCCCCCACTGCGGGGGGTGGTGTCCTCCTCCTTCCTGGCCCCGACCTCCACTTCCCTGCTGAGACCTGGTGGGCGGCGTGAGGGTCTTTTTACTGGATGCAGGAGGAGCCCTTCCTGGGGGACGACCTGGGTCTGTCTCGGGCCTCAGAGAAGCAGGGAGGGAGGGGCCGTGGGGGGGGGACCACTGGTGCTGAGGAGCCCCGAGTGCTCCCTGGTGGGCATGGACCCTCTTCCCTTGACTCCGGGGAAATGACCTCAGATCAAACCTGAGACTCACCTGCAACCTTCAGCTGCACCAGGGCATTTTCAGAGAAGTCTCCATCTCGGAAATAACACAGGTAGTTTCCACTGTCAGAGGCTCTGATGTCCCGAATCCGGAGAGCAGCCTTCCCCGCAGTGATGTCCTCTTTTAAAATCGAAGTTCTCCCTTGAAACTCTGCTGCCGGCGTGTCCTCCTGCCCGTGTGCGTACGTGTGCACTACCTGCCTGGGGCTGGATCGCACCCACATCAGCTCCATGGTCTCAGCGCTCATGTTCGGGAACAGGTGACAGGGCAGCTCAGCGTCTTCACCCACCATGGCCTGGATGGGCGCAGGGGGTCCAACCACAGCAAACTGAGCTGGTCATCAGAAGGGGGGGCTCCGTCAGAGGGAGCTGGGGCCAGAGGACCAGGGGGAGCCCCAGCAGGGAGGGCGAGGGGAGAGACACCTGGACAGGAACTCAGTCCTCACACAGGTGGGTCTGGACGGGCCTTGCAGGGGTGGGGGGAGCCCAGGGTTCTGACTGGGCCCCAAGGGAAAGGCTTCAGGTGCACGAACGCAGAGCAGGTCCTACCTGAGCAGGGGCTGAGCAGCTGGACCACGGCGAGGCAGACAGGGAGGGCAGGCAGACGGGGGACCAGGTGCCTCACCATCGTTCCCTGCTGGGCAGACAGAGAGACACCAGCAGGGGCTGGGTGGCAGTGACGACCTGGGAGAAGGGGGAGGATTCCACATGGAGACGCGCCCTCTTAGGGCTGACCCCGGGTGCAACCAGGATCCCTGCTGACGGGAGACCCTCCTCTGCAAATGTCCGCTGGGGGGTCTCTCAACCTTGTATCCCAACATGGAAATCACCCAGGAAACATGGCGCAGGAATGCAAGTACCTTCACCCTCACCAGCAGGGAGTCCTTGGGTCTCCTTTCAGAAAGGTGCTCAGAATCCCTCCACTCACCCACACTTCCCTGAACCCGACAGTTGCCCGCCCTCAGCAGCACCCTCTGAGGAAGGCAGGCCCCTCTGCTCTGAGTCCCCATCCCACTGCTGCCCCCTGCAGGCCGTGCTCCGCACAGCAGCCAGGACGTCCTGACCCCTCCCCTCCCTGCTGCTCAGTCCCCCCCAGGGACCCCCATTCCATCCAGAGCAGAAGCGGAGTCCTTTGCATCCTGTGCCTTTACAAGTACCTGAATGTTTTAAATGAAAAGTTTTCACAGTGTGGGATGTATTTCCACTTATTTCAGGGGATATTTACTGTTTTTTAATCCCGATCATATACAAGTTTAAAATAACCCAAATAATATTAATAGTAATAACAATAATAAAATAAAAAATTATGTTATAATGGAAATCATATACTTTGCTTCACATGAATGTAAATATTACTGAATGTGATATATATACACACACACACAGTCACACACACTGGCTTAAGAATGTTTTCCTTTGCAAGAATCAATCTCAAAGAAGACAAATCAGGCATTATCACAAAGGCTTATATTTAAGTGTGTTCACCATGGTAAAATCTGCAATAGCAAAGTGTAGATACAATTTAAATAGCCAAACTGCAACTAATTTTGTTACAAATGTATAGAAAACCTCTTTATTAAAAACATGATTCCTAAACGAACAGCCCACATAATCTCAGTGATGAAAAGCTGAAGGCCGTTCCTGTAGATCAGGAAGAAGAAACAGATGCCCACTATGACCACTTCTGTTCAACACATTGGTGGGAGTCCTAGCCACACTGATCGGACAAGACAGAGAAATAAAAATCATACAAATCAGAGAGGAAAAAGTAAAATTCTCACCATTTGCAGATGACATGATACAAAATAGAGAAAAGCTTGAAGACTCCGCCACCCCCCCAAAAAAGAACCTATTAGAACTACTATGAATTGAGTAACATTCAGGATATAAAAGGAGAAACCTGCTGCATTTCTACACAGCAATACTGAATATTCAGAATCAGACATGCTTTAAATCCCATTTTCAATATCACCCAAAAGGACAAAGTACCTAGGGCTAAATGTAAGTAAAGAGGTGACAGACCTGCACACTGACAACTGTCGGACACAATGAGGACAGAAACTGAGGAAACACAAATGAGTGGGGACATACAGTGTGCTGGTGTTGGGAAGGGTTCATATTGTCCCAATGTCCGCACTGTCTAAGGCAACACACAGATGCAGTGCAATCCCTACTAAAGTACCAACGACCTACTTCTCAGAAGTACAACTAACCCTAAAATGTATGTGGAACCACTAAAACTCTGAACAGCCAGAGAAACCCTGAGACAGAACGAAGTTGGTGGTGTCACACTCCCGGACAGGACAGGACGTCACACGTCTGCACTGAAGAGACAGCAGGACCTGGCAGGACAGCAGTCACCAAAGTCAATGGGACAGACCAGAGAGCCAGCAGCGAGTCCTCCCTTCTGTGGGCAATCGGTCTGAGGTGAAGAGACCCTCTCCAACATGCTGCTGTCAGACCTGGACGGATACGTGCAAAAGGGTGTGACTGCATCCCTTTCCTAGACCAAGTACGAAGAAGAACACAGAATAAAATTAAAGATTTAAATGTAAAATCTGAAACCATAAAACTGGATGAAAACATGGGCAATTAATTCTCTAACATTACTCTTCACAATGTCATTTTGGGCATGTCCCCTTGGGCAAGGACAAAAAGTGAAAAAATAAATGAATGAGACCATTTCAAAGGAACAAGTGTTTGCCCAGCACAGAAAACTATCAACAAAATGTAAACACCATGCAATAAATGAAGAAGATATTCCCAATAATACAACTTAAAAAGTGTTTAGCCCTGAATGATGTCGCTCAGTGTGTTGAGTGCCAACCTGTGAACCCAAATGTTGCCAGTTCGATTCCCAGGGAGGGCACAGGCCTGGGTTGACAGCCAGGTCCCTGGTAGGGAGCATGTGAGAGGCAACCAACCAATGTTTCTCTTGTAGTTCAATGTCTCTCTCCCTCTCTTTTCCCCTCTCTAAACATAAATAAATAAATAAAATCTTCTAAAAAAGATTCCATTTATTTATTTTTAGAGAGGGAAGGGAAGGAGAAAGAGAGAGAGAAAGAGAAACATCAATATGGGGTTGCTGGGGGTGGTGGCCTGCAACCTAGGCACCTGCCCTGACTGGGAACCGAACCTGCGATGCCTGGTTCGCAGCTCGTGCTCAATCCACTGAACTATGTCAGCCAGGGAAATAAATGGAATCTTAAACTAAACAAATGAATAAAATAAAAAGCAGATAGTAATAGTACTCACTCTTTAAACTGTGTTTAATATTCAGAATTTATAAAGAACTCATACAACTAAACATCAAAAAAACAAACGATCTGATTTAGAAGATGAGCTGTGGACCAGAATGGACATTTCTCCAAAAGGGAGGTACAGACACACGGACTGGAACCCCCTCTGGGGTCAGACAGTGTGTAGTCATGCATTCCTCAACCGTTGTGTGTGTGGATGCTGCAGATTGTTCTATATCACAAATATTTCTTTAACAATCTTCTTTACATATACATCTTTTTATATCCTCACACAAGGACATTTTTCTTCATTACTTTCAGAGGGAGTGGAAGGGTGGAGGAGAGAGAAGGAGACAAACAGATGAAGAGAGTGGGCGGGAGAGGGAAACATAGACATGAAGGAGAAACATCAGTTGGCTGCCCCTCCTAGGCTGCGTAATCTGGGGATGGAATCCAACACCCAGGTTTCTGCCCTGACCAGGAATCGAACCCCGGCCTTTTGGTATGTGGGACGATGCTCCAACCAACTAAGCCGCACTGGCAAGGGTTTTACAATTAATCTTTAAGACACACACCTGGTAACCCACCCCACTGTTCTTTCCACATTATTTCTGTAAATGGTGACCTGCTCACTTATATGTGCCTCAGATAAACAGTCGGTTTGCTGAAGAATTCCAGACACTAACTTCAGAAGGAGCTCAGTCCACCCTCAGACATTCGGCTCTGGGAGGTTTGCTGACCTCGACCAGGAACCTGAACAGACTGTGTTGTTTGCACATTGTCCCCTCCAGGCAGAACTCTCAACATCCTCCTTTCCGTGTCTTTGTTGCGTTTTTGTTTCCTTCCTTCTCTCTCCTTACAAAATCCCTGTCTATGTCCATTGTTCAGATTTGTCAGGACAGACCCCCCTGATCTCCAGCCGTGGGTCCTTGAATGGACCTACTTTCCTCCCACCAGGCCTTGTCTCTCAGTTATTGGCTGCTGAGCAGCAGGCAGGTGAACCTGGGTTTGGTGTCCACGTCTGTTCTGGAATCTCCTAGAACACGTTCCCAGAGACGAGCAGGACAGGCTGTGAGGGGCCTTGCTCCTCTCTCACCACAGGAAGTTCCCAGGGACGGGCAGGTGTCCAGCTCCCTGGTTCCCGTTGTCTCCCTCCCACAGGTGTCCCAGTGCAGACCTTACCTGCCCTGCTCCACGCTCCCCCTGTGCCCTCACCTGCAGGCACACAGCCCCACACTCCTTCTCTGGGTGCGGGACACCCTGCAGGCTCCCCCAGCGCCTCAGCCTTTCTCCCAAGGGGCTCTGGGGCCCTGGCTCTCACCAACTGCTCTCAGTTAACCTTGACACTCCCAGATGAAAATCACAGAGCAAAGGTACTCCAGGGTTCTTTATTACAAGTGAGTCTCTGATCTGATAGAAAGGGTGGGGAAGGAGAAAGGGTGTTCAGCAAGGGAAACAGGGCAAAAGTCTGTCTTTGAAAACACTTGTTCTCTGATTGGCTCAGAGCCTGGGTCTCATCAGTTGTTGGGCAGAAACCAGTGGGTCAGGTTGGCAGGAACAGGGACCCCGAGTTGGATGGGGCAGTGCAGACCAGCTCCAGCCCTGACTCCCCCCCTCTGGGTCTCTCTGTGCGGTCACCTGCGTGAATCAGTCCTGGGTGTGGGTGGATGTGAGCAGTACCTCACTGCACACACCTGCTTCATGTCACTTGTGTCACAGTGTGTTTAGCAGAGGAACCAGGACAGAGCAGCAGAGGGCAGTGTGGGGAGCAGAGGAGGGTGCAGGAATTACAGGGTCACTGTGGTCGTTGGCTAACGTCTTTGACAGCAGAGCCCAGTGCAGGTGTGATAGAGAGAGGGCAGGCTCCCTGCACCTGTCCTGGCCCCTGTGACACTCAGGTCTCAGATCCACTCCCAGGCAGCACCGTGTTCAGGTTCCCACGGGCGGTGCTGTCAGGGGCCGATGGGCAGGTTCCAGGTTTTCCAGGGAAGGGTCATGGGGGCGTTGCTGAGAAGGTCCATCCGTCCTCTGCCCCTCATCTGAGCTGCACCTGGGTTTCAGGTGTGCTCACTTCCCTCTGCTGCAGGGTCTGTGTCCTCTGAGGTTGGATGGGAGAGGATGTGAGTGTGTCTGTCAGGGGACTTGGGGACCAGCAGGGCCCACCTGTGGCCTGGGGCCTCCAGAGACACTGTGTTTAGGTCTCAAGACTGTGAGTTGAGCCCCCAGGGCCTGAGTGTGACTGTGGCTGATGGACTGTGATGCATCCCATCGTGTGAATGTGGGTTCTGGGGTGGAGGTGGCTGCTCCCTTGTGCCCCATCTGTTCCCTGCTGCTCCTCAGTGAACAAACTGAGTTTTGGGGGGAGGGTACTGCACTGTGTCCACCCCCCTTATTGTTGGGAGAGGCTGAGGGACTGAGTTTGAGCTGATGGTTTGCAGGTGGATGTTATGTGTTGTGCTTCTCTAGAGAATTCCACGATCCTCCCACTTGCTCCTTCCTCTTGGGTGGACACCGTCTCTGGACCTGGAGCTCAGCGGCCATCTTGTCACCAAGAGGCCACCTGGGGATGGACGCCACACACTGAGAGGGCAGAGAATGGAGACAGGTGGAGGCTGGGGCGTGGATGCCTCTCTGAGCTCTCAGACCATCCCTGGACCGCTGCCCTCTGGGGTCATCTCCCATGAGAGGAACGTGAGTCGTGTTTAGCTGAGGCCCCAGGCACCTCTGGTCTCTGTTACCAGCAGCAGAACACGGCTCTTCCCGCCCCACCCCCTCCGCCAGCAGTTTGTGGGGAAAACTGCAAAGACAGAGCATAGTTGAGCGAATGTTTCAATGAACACTGACTATACCTACTGCTCATTTTTTATTATTTTCTTTTAAAAATAATTTCATATGATCTCAAATTAATTCATTGGGGTGATATTGGTTTCCCAAACCCCAAACCCGATGAAACGTCATCTGCACACACGGCATCATGTGCCCGTCACCCTGAGCAAAGTCTCTTTCTGTACCCAGTTCCCCTCCTTTTCCCACCTCTACAGACCCCAACCCCTTTTCCTCTGCTGTCACCTCACTGTTTTGGTGTCTATAGGTTAACTCTACGAGGGGGACCACCCCCCCCCCCAAAACCCTGGAAGCATCTTCTGGAAGGCAGACCTCTTGTAGTCAGGGCTTCCCCCGCTGGGTGAGTGTTCTAGGAACCCCTCTGGGTCAGTGCACCAGCTGTGTTGTTTTGTGGCAGGAAAAGAAACTGCTCTCTGTAACACTTGCAAGTTTTGTCTGGACAAAAGCTAAGTAAAAGTTACTTTTCGGTAAGCAGCTGGCTAGCAAGACGTTGCTATGTAAGGATATCTGAAGGTCACTAATCTTGCCCCTGCTTCTGAATGCGTGCTTTCAGCAGCTGGTCCCCCCTCCCTTTCTGCCTGTGTAATTGGTATATAAAAAGGACCCCTAACCCAGCCTTTTTGGGCTCAGGATTTGGAATTAACCCCTGAAGCGCCCTCCACCCCCCGTAATAAAGTTTGTGCTGCGTTATTTCCCCACCTGTGGGTGGATTTTCCACAACAGTTTGAGAGGCTGCATTAGGCTCAGTGAACTTTTCTGAAAGCTCTTTCAACGCATTGCACGATGGGTCATTTACGAGCACACCTGCCCACAGCCGAGTGTTCAGCAGAGTGGGACCCAGAGCAGCAAACCCCCTGTAATCCACCCCCCCTCCCTGCCCATTCACCCAATCTCCTCCCAAGGGACATTGTTTGTTTCCTTGGTGAAAAAAGTTCTGGATGGAATTGTTTTGACCATGTGGAAGAGGAGAAGGATAAAGGGCAGAAGCACTAAAAGCATTGAAATCAACCAGTTCAAACCCTGTTTTGAGCAGTGGATACAATGTCTGGATAGGTGTGTTGCACCAGGTGGGGAGTGCTTTGAAGGTGACTGACCTTAAGAATGTGAGAATAAACACACAGTTTTGTAGAAATACATTCCCTTTTTTTGTGACCCCCTCGTATGTGTTTTCTGGCTCATGCCTTCACCGTCTCCCACTCAGCCCCCCAACCCTCCCTTCTGACAGCTGTCAGTCTGTGCTGTGCTTCCAGGCCTCTGCGCACGCCCACCGTTGAGGGTCTGCAGTGCACGTGTCACTACACACGCTTACCTTGTCATCTACAAGGAACATGTTACAGTACACGCTCACTTTCCCTGGATGCCCCTGTGCTTAGTTACTCACCTGGAGCCTTTTAAACTGAGTTATGACATCAGTTCACGTTCCCCGGGGAACTTGCACACACCTGTCAGGAGGAGCTCAGTCCTGAAATGCACGAGGCACCAAAGCTGTGCTTCACATATGGATGTAGGGGTGATTTTCAGTCGTGTGTTCAAAGTGATCAGTGGATGGTTTTTACGTGGGTGACCCCGGGTTCTAAATGTATGGTCATCCCCAGTCTCATGGACACTCTGACCCAGGTCCCTGGCCCCTCCTCCAAAGGTCAAGGCCACCTCCAGCAGCTGGTCCCGGACAGCCCGACCCAGGACAAGCACCGACTCAGGCCCCTCCGGCCCCGCCCGGGCACCTGGTGCCGGAGGTTCTGGACTCCCCGCTGAGGCTGCTCGGTGGGAAAGACAGCGCAGCAAGGCAGGGAGGGGGCGGGACACACGTCTCCCCGCTGACTCGGCCGTCCTGGGCCTGGTCCCCGAGTTATGCCAGGTGTCCCGGCATCCCAAGAAACACCTGCCAGCACAGGAGGGGGCCGTGACATTCTGTGCATCGTTTCCACTGTCTGGGACGGGAAGCCTTTGAAAGCGAGTGTCCTCCCCAAGGTCTAGACGGGGGAGAGGAGGGGGGTCCCCGGTGCCCAGGGAAGAGCCCGTCAGTAACTCTGGTGACTGCGTGGACTGTAACTAACCGCCCCTCTGACGGGTCTGTGTCACTGCGGGGTGACACCCGGGGTCTGGGGCAGGATAAGGGTCCAGGGTTAACAGTCCCCAGGCCTGCCCCAGTCTGGGGAGTCACCTCCTCCTGCGGAGCTGCCCCCACCTTTCCCCACCAATCAGCGCACACCCTCCTCACCTGGCCCCGCCCACCGCAGACACAGCCCCGTTCCCACGTCCCTGCTCCGTCCCAGTGGAGCCGGTTTGCACGGAGCAGATCCCCTCCCTGCCCCCCAGTCTGGGGGTCACTGTTGCTGTGGAATCGGCCGGGACCGTGGGCGCCGGCAGGAAGCTGCGGAAAGGCCTGGGGTTGGCTCAGAGGGTAAATGCAGTGGGAGCCGGGGCCCGCGGCGCAGAGCACTGGGGCTGCACGAGAACTCTCCCTGCCCGTGGTCAGGCCGGGGCGACAGGCGCGTCCCTCCCAGCCAACCCCACGGGGGACAGGGAGTGACCTTCCAGTCGTTGGCAGTCCTGGGAACAGCAGCCGGAAGAGGGAAATGGCCGTCACGTGTGACAAGGTCTTGGGCCCAGGCCCAGGGCCCCTGGACAGCCAATGGCTCTGGCTGTGTCCTTTCACGGGTCGGCCAGCAGATGGCCTCCTTGGGTCCAGCACCTGGACACCCACAGGATGCTCCCATCCCGGGTCCCACAATCCCAGTCCAGCCATCGGGTACATTTCTTCTAGAACGATCTCCCTAAAGCACAGTCATAACATTTCCCGCCTGTGGCTGGACCCTCCCTCTGGAGTCCTCCCATTCCCCTGACGCCACCAACGCTGCAGGTAGCTCAGGAGCAAGGGCCCCACCTCCAGTGACTCCACCCCTGGGACCCTGTTCCATGTCACTCCCCTCACCTGACTTGTTCCCCCACGTCTGTCCCTGCAAGAACGACTCCAGATGTCCCCAGCCTGGAGGGTCTCAGCCCTTCTGACAGCAGCAAGAGGGGCCACCTGGGTCCCGTCACTGCAGGGAACTCAGCTCTGCCAGCAGCCAGAGTCAGCAACGCAGACTCGTGCCTGGGTCCTGCAGAAAGGACCCAGCCTGAGACACCCTGACTTCTGTCCGGTGACAGCCATGCTGGACCCCTGACCTCAAAGTTCTAAGGTCACAGATGTGTGTTGTGTCAGGTCATGACATGTGTGCTTACTGGTCACAGCTGCATTGCACACCCAACACAACAAGGATTCGGTAACAAGGTGCCCAGGAGCCAAACTGTGACCCTGGTGAGTTAACCGTGGGGGTCAAATCTAGAAAGAGCTCTGTTGAAGAGTGACAATTATTGACACATTTATTTAACACATGTGACATGACACCCACATTCAGGGCGAGGAAACACACAGTGAACAGTCACAGTGATGTTGAGGAGGAGGAAGAACGGCCTTTCCCCAGGACCCACAGGTGACAGGAACCTCGGGAACCTCAGTGGGTGGTCAGCGGTGGGCGCCGTGTCCTGGACGTGGGTCCCACCGTGTGATGGAACTTCCACTGACGTCCGTCTGCCCCCCTCCCCCCCCACCGTCCTGCTCACAGAGGACCTTCAGGTGGGAGGTGGGAGGGTGGGTCTGCTCTGTGCCCACAGGTCACAGTCTGGTTGAGAAAGTGGCCACTGGTCCCTTCTGTACGTCCTCAGTCCCTTCCCGCTGAGACGTTTTACTGTTCAGGAGGCCCTCAGCTCCAGGCGGGGCAGCGAGAAGCAGAGATGTTTCTTCAGCCTGAGGGTCCCCATTCCCATCAGCTGGGCCCGTGGACACTGGGGTCTCCAGGGAAGGGTCAGGCCCTGGGTCGGGCAGAAGGGTTCTTCTCACTGGTTTCTGTGCTGGGCAAATGGTCAAGGGAGTGGGCTCAGTCGTCCAAATCCTGAAAACAGGCCTCAGAGGCCCCGAGAAGCGGGTGTGTGGGAAGGTGAAGATGTGAGACCCGCCGAGGGCATTGTAGAACGAGACCTGCCCCAGCTCACAGTCCAGGAAAACCCCCACCCTCTCGGGGGGGCTCACACAGGTCAGTGTGGTCTGTGGGTTGGTGAGAGCCAGGTAGTCACCCCAAGGATGCTGCCCCATGACCCAGAACCCACTCTCTGGGTTAATTTTAACCCAGTGTTTTCTCTCCATGTTTTCCCTGCACACCCCAACACACCACTGTGCCCTGTTCCCCACCTCCACCTCCCAGAAGTGTCTCCCTGACGTGAAGCTCTCACAGCCCAGCACACAGTGATTCCCCTGAAATCTCTCGGGGTTTTCTGTCAGGTCCTGCCATTCCTCTGCCCACTGCAGGCTCCTCTTGTCCTCAGAAACCAGGAGGGCGGAGTGCGCCGTGTCTGGGTCCAGAAACACATCCGCTGCAGGGGGGTCAGAGGGTGTGGGGTCAGCCATGGTGCCTGGACCTCAGAGCCTCAGCCTTCAAGACCAGGCTCTGGGCCGGAGGCCACACTCCAGCGAGTGGGGGCCCCGACCTGCCCTGAAGGGGACCATCAGCAAAGCCCAGGAACCACAGCGGTCGTGCCCTCACTGAGCAGCCTCCTGCCGTCCCCCCCAGTCCCTTCCTGCAGGACCTGGGTCAGCCTGAGCCTGGTCAGGTCCCCCCTCCCTCTCCCTGCAGCCCCTCCCTCCAGCCCCGCCCCTCCTGCCTCTGCCTCCCACAGAGACCTGTGGACCCCAGGACAGCTGCTGTCCCTGCTCCCTGGGCTCTGGGCAGCAGGTGGGCACACCTTTGAGACAATGACCTCAGGTCACCCTCCCAGAACTGTCCCAGTCAACAGTTGGAGAGGAAAGAGGGAGCAGGGGCCCTCGGGGGTTGTCCTGGGGACACAGAGGGACCCACTCACCAGGCTGGGAGAGGGCCGTCTTCCACTCTGGAAGGAAGCACAGACAAGGAAAGGTCATTCTTTCTGTCCCCCCCCCCACTGTCCTCACGGAGCCTCTTCTCTCTCCTCCCCTCAGTCCCCTCCAGCGTCCACTCCCCTCATCTGCAGCTCTGCGGGCCAGGCTGAACCCTCTCCCAGTGCTGGGCTTCCCTCCATCACGCTGGGGCCGTGGGGACACGACCAGGCTGTGCCGGGTGTGGGCGTGGGTGTCAGCAGGGTGAGGGGACACTGGGTGTGGAAGGTCCTCTCTGAGTGACCAGACAGGAGGGGGGTGGTGCAGACACAGAGAATGAGCCTCTGAGCTGGACGGGACGGCCCCTCCCCCAGCAGGAAAGGCTGCACCTGCTTCCCCCACAGGAGCCGGGAAACCAGAGAGCCTCAGGCTCACTCACCTGCATAGGCCTGAGGCCACTCCTCACCTGCAGTGAGACAGACAGTCACCTGAACTGTCATGTCTGAGTTGGTTCCTTTCTGTCCCTTGTGCCCCCTGTCGTCTTCCTGTGTGCCCCCCACCCTCCCCACTTCCCCCTCTGCCTGTTCCCTCCCCGGTGTCCCCTTCTCTTTCCATCAGCTGCAGCTCAAGACCCCCAGGCGCCCTGCAGGGGGTGTCCCAGGGTGACCGCACAGCTGTCCTGTCCGTGTCTATGCAGGAGGCACTGCTTATACAGTTTGCTTTCTAAAGTTTGTTTGCCTTCTATCATCTATAGCCAGAAAATTTAAAAAATGGAAAATTGCAGAAAGAAAGAATTCAGAAGTTTTAAATTGCATGCCAATCTGAGTAGTATGATGAGGTCCCCTGCTGTCTGCTGCAACCTGCCCCCCTCAGGAATCCTCCCCGAGTCCAGCACGTCCACCCAGCATCCTGCCTCCCCTGCCGGTCTCTGAGTGTCTCTGTGACACATGGATGGTCCCAGTATCACAGTGCTGCTGTTCAGTCACCCATATTTTACTTAATAACGACTCCAATGTACAAGCACAGTGATGCAGTGATGCTGGTGTGCCAAGGAGAAGCCTTCTTTACGTGAACAGGAAAAACCTCGTGTGTTCAGTGCTTGGTGCTACCTGTGGTCTTGCACCACATCGCCCTGGGATGAGGGGTGACCACTTTACTCCAGGACCTGGGTGCACCTGGGCATAGGGTCGCCCTGGGCACACGTGTGTGTACCTGTGTGCTGGAATCCATCCACCTCCATCTGTATGATATCCTGACCACTTCCAGAAACAACTGGACAACTTAATGGGAAAAATTCAGGTACTATTTTTTTAGCAGTGATGATGAATCTGTGACAACTGACACTGGCCACTCCTGTTTTTAAGGGACACGTTTCTTACCTTCTGTTTTTCTTCCTGGTTGTCTACAGAGTGTGAGAATCAACCAGGGAGGGAAGGACTCCCACACTGAGTCACCTCCCGCCCACTCTCCTTTTCGGGGTTGGCGGGGTGTCCCGGCTAGAGCGCCCCCTGATGGAGAGACACCGCAGCCCCTTCTCCACCGAGACAGACCCCTGCCTGGTTCTCCCATCAGTTCTCATTCCTTCCCCTGGGCGGTTAGGGGGGAGGGAAGGGGCTGGAATATCGGAGCACAGAGGCTGAGATGCGGGTCCGGGTACTCACGTGGTGTGTACTCGAACCTTCTCCACCCTGCAGGGAACAATGTGAGGCGTCAGTGACGTGTGTCCCCAGGGTCCGCAGGACGCGCGGGGCTGGGGATCGGGACTTACTGAGTTCGTCCTGCAGCCTTTCTGAAAATAAGCAGGAAAAAGAAAGTCCTCAGAGGAGGACCCAGGGGAGTTTCCGCGCGCTGGGTGCCGGCTGCGGTGGGGAGGTGGCGCCCTCCTGCGGCGGGGTCTCACCGTTGTTTCTTTGCTCCCTCGTCTTCTCCTGCCGCAGAACCTCGGTCTTCCTCTGCTGTCTCCAAAGGAAACTCCCTGCCCCCGCCAGGGTCACCAGCAGAACCAGCAGGGTCACCGCGAAGGCCGCCACCCAGGGCTGCGCGCTCCGGAAGAAGGGGCCTGCGAAGGGTGAGCCTCAGCCGCTGAGAGACCATTGTCTTCCCGAAGTGCCCAGACCCCTCACCGCCACACAGTGGTGCTGTCCGGAACGGTCGGACTGTCTCATGGGAACAGTTCAAACATCAACAAGGCGTACGGAATCGTTGAAATCTCTGTCCACTCCCTCCGCCCCGCACTGACTAGCTTCTGGTTAGAATCTTACTCTGGTGATTAAGAACCTGAACGTTGGGGCTGGAGGGCCAGCCTTCAAATTCAGGATCTCCTGCCTGACTAGCTCTGTGACCTTGAACTAATGACCCAACCATTCCTTCCTGGCGTTCTGTTCAGTAAGAGGATTAAATTAATGCTTATATAGTGCCTGACACACAGCGAGTGCCATGCAAGTGTTTGTTAAATTTTAAAAATATAAATAGATTCTTATGTTTTTTCTTGTTCATACCAAGCATGTCAGTCTACACCGGCTACTCTGCAGGTTCCCTCTGCTCGCCTGGGTCTGGGAGACCTTCCCGCCTCAGCACAGGGGGCAGGTCTGTGTCTGCTCTCACAGGGCAGCACCCACTGCACACGCGTCCCCTCGGGGGCACTTGCACCATCTCTGACTCTTTGTTGTTACAGTTAATGGTGCAGGAAATAACCTTTTATATGAGGCATTTCACAGTAATGGAAGCTGATCTGTCAGATAAATTCTCAGAAGTGGTAATTTGGATCAATAAATAAATAGTTTGGATAAAGATTACTCTATTGCCCCAGTAGACATTATGCCAAATAGCACCCAAAATATACAAAATTTTAGCAACAAAACATCTAAGGGTGGCTGCCTCCCCACAGTCGCCCCATCAGGGGGCGTTATCAAGCACCTTCTTTCTTCGTTTGTTGCCAGTCTCATGGGCGGAAATCATCTCCCTAGTCAGTGAGATAGGCATGCTTTCATAAGTTATTTACTTTTCTGTGGACTGATAAAAAATTAAAATAAAAAAATAATTAAGTGTATTTTATTGGTTATGCTATTACTGTTTTCCCAATGCTCCCCCTTTTATCTCCACTCTGCCCTGCACCCCCAACCCTCCAGCATTCCCTCCCTTAGTTCATGTCCATGGGTTGTACATATAAATCCTTTGACCTTGGTTCCCTATACCATTCTTAACCTTTCCTCGTCTACTTTATGCCTACCAATTATGCTTCTTATTCTCTGTACCTTTCTCCACATTCTTCCCCTCCTCCTCACCACTAAAACCTTCCATGTGATCTCCATTTCTCTAATTCTGTTCCTGTTCTGGTTGTTTGCTTAGTTTTTGTTTTCACTTTTTTAGGTTCAGTTGTTGACAGTTTTAAGTTTGTTGTCATTTTACTATTCATAGTTTTTGATATTCTTCCATTTCTTAGATAAGTCCCTTTAACATTCCATATAACAAGGGCTTGGTGATAATGAACTCCTTTAATTTTACCTTATCTGGGAATCACTTTATCTGCCCTTCCATTCTAAATGAAAGCTTTGCTGCATAGAGCAATCTTGGATGTAGACCCTTGCCTTTCATGCCTTTGAATTCTTCTTTCCAGCCCCTTCTTGCCTGAAAGGTTTCTTTTGAGAAATCATTTGGTAGTCTTATGGGAACTCCTTGGTACGTAACTGTCTCCTTCTCTCTTGCTGCTTTTAAGATTCTCTCTTATCTTTAATCTTGGGTAACTTAATGATGATGTGTCTTGGTGTGTTCCTCTTTGGGATTCAACTTCTTTTGGACTGCATGGGCTTCCTGGAAGTCTATTTCCTTTGCCAGATTGGGGAAGTTTTCCTTCATCATTTGTTCAAGTAAGTGTTCAATTTCTTACTCTTGTTCTTCTTCTGGCACCCCCTATGATTCTGATGTTAGAGTGTTTAAATTTGTCCCAGAGTTTCCTAAGACTTTCCTCATTTTTTTTGAATTCTTGTTTCTTCATTCTGTTCTGGTTGGATGTTTATTTCTTCCTTTTGTTCCAAATCATTGATTTGAATTCTGGTTTCCTTCCCGTCACTGTTGGTTTCCTGAATTTTCTGCTTCATTTCATTTTGGGTAGCCTTCATGTGTTCCTTCATTTTTCAATTGAGCTTAACCAGTTCTGTGAGCATCCATATTACCAGTGTTTTGAACTCTGCATCAAATAGGTTGGCTATCTCCTAGTCACTTAGCTCTTTTTCTGGAGCTTCGATCTGTTCTTTCATTTGGGACATATTTCTTTGTCTCAGTGCACCATTATGTTGTAAGGGGTGGGGCCTTAGGTATTCACCTGGGCAGGGCAACCCTCTTTGCTGTGCTGTGGTGGCGCTGTCTGTGGGGCACGGGTCAGAGAGGGGCAATGTGGCTTGCTTGATCTGCTGCAGCCCCACTTTCCAATGAACTCTCTCTTGTGAGACTGGGACTTTCTCCCCCATGGCAACCCGCCAACATAGTTTACAGCTAGCTTTGAGTCTTTAGTTTCCCGTTCAGGCAGCCCCACCTCGCCTGTGCAACACCCCACCTTGCTGCAGGTCTTCTCTGCTTGGCTGTCCATCTCCGCCCTCCCACCCATCTGAGTGAATGTTCTTTAACTCCTTGGGTGTTGGATTTCTGTGCAGCTTGATTTTCTGGCACCTCTGGTTGTTTAATGTTATTAGATTGGTTGTTTATCCTGTTTTTGGTTGTGCAAGGAAGCGAAGACTTTTTACCTACGACTCCATCTTGGCCAGAACTATGATAATTCTTGTTTTTGCATATTTTCTAATGGGTTGTTTTATACATTAAAATTTGATATTTTTTACATATTTTAAAATATTTACCTACTACATGTTTTCTCCCCTTTTACCATGTCCTTGATGATCTTGACCATTTGTCCCCATTTCCCATTGTCCGTCACAGTTAGTGGCACACAGGAAGAGCTCAGGTGTCTGTAACTTAAACAGCTTCATGGGGAAGGAGCAGCAGGTCCCTGCTCTGTCCCTTCTGTTCCCTGCACAGACCCAGGTCAGCAGCAGACAACCACACCTTTCCCCACAGGCCACACAGGAGCCCAGGGCAGGGGGCAGGGCACTCACCTGGGATGGAAAGCCTGGCTGACCTCTGCTGGCCCAGCAGGGGGTTTCTGATGACACAGGAGACCCCCTCCCCAGAGCCACCTTCCAGGATCACAGAGGCTGAGGCTGCATAAAGGCCCTGGGGGTCTGCAGCCTCTGTGGCCACCTCAGCAGACAAGCTGTGTCCCCTGGCGTCTCTCCACTGGATCTGGGGCTGCGGGTACCAGCCGGCAGACGTGCACTCCACACGGATCCCTCCAGCCTCGTAGCCCTTCATTTCAATGTGGGGATCAGAGCCCAGTGCTGGGGAGGAACAGTGAGTCTGAATTCTGAGGAGCCCTCTGCACTGGTGAGGGTCTCCACAGCAGGGAGGGGCACACCCACCCTGGATGAGCCCAGCAGGGATTCCCCAGGAGCTGTTCCCAGAGTGTGCTGTGTAGGAGAGACTGACCCACAGTGTGACCACTGCTTGACCATTGCTGGCCCCTCATGCTGGATCCAGGGCGATCTGGGCCAGCACAGACATTGCTTCCCCTGAATCCCCTTAGAGACTGCTGGGCCCTCTCCTCCCCCATGGCCCAGACATGCTGGTTCCTGGAACAGCCCCTCACCCCACCCTGGGCAAGCATGTAAACGGTTCCCCCTTAGCTGAAGCAGGTCGCACCCCAGTGCCTCAATTCATTCTGCCTGTCTTCTGTGAGCTTTGCCCTGCCGTGTGGAGAAAAAGACATGAACCTTGTCTTCTTGATGCCCAAGCTGTGTGTTGTATGCTAGGGCCCTCGGGAAACTCTGATATATTAAGGATTGAGTTGTCAACCTCTTTTTTCAGCATAGGAAGTTTTTATAATTTGGTGATAGAGAGGGGATAACTTTTCCACAGAAGAGGGTTGACTCGGGGACAGGAACAGTGAAGTTGTGATTACCTGTCCTTGAACTCTCAAATGCAAGACAAGGTGGTAGAAGCCTAATGAAGAATAGAGTCATGTAGGGAAGACCAGCTTCAAAACCTGCATTCTCCAGGAAGGGACTATAGCTACCTCTGGCCCTGCAGGGACAAAGCCAGGACCTCCCCACCATCCATCCCCTGCTGGACTCCCCAGTGACCCATCAGGCAGAAGCCACAGGACAGGGCTGTGTCCTGAGAAGGTGAAGTGTAGCCCTGACACATGGACACGAGCACCTACATGGGGCAGCACCTCGGACAAGGTGCTTTTTCACTGGGATGGGTCAGGACAAGGTCAAGACCACTCAGCAGTCAGGTCTCAGCACAGTGGGGGCCGGTGTTGGTGAAGACCTGAGAGTGTTCTCAGGTTGGCTTGGAGCCTGTGCCCTTGACCCTAGGAAAAGCAAGTGCAGATCAAACATATGAGGCTCACCTGAAACCTTCAGCTCCACCTGAGCTTTTGCATAGATGTCTCCATCTTGGAAATAACACAGGTAGATTCCTCTGTCAGAGGCTCTGACGTCTCGAATCCGGAGAGCAGCCTTCCCCACAGTGATGTCCTCTCTTAAAATCGAAGTTCTCCCTCGATACTCTGCTGCCGGCGTGTCCTCCTGCCCGTGTGCGTACGTGTGCACTACCTGCCTGGGGCTGGGTCGCATCCATATCAACTGCATGGTCTCAGCACTCATCTCCGGGGACAGGTGACAGGGCAGCTCAGCGTCTTCACCCTCCATGGCCAGGATGGGCTCGGGGGTCCCAACCACAGCAAACTGGGTTGGTCATCAGAAGGGGGTTCTCCGTCAGAGGGAGCTGGGGCCAGAGGACCAGGGGGTGCCCCAGCAGGGAGGGCGAGGGGAGAGACACCTAGACAGGAACTCAGTCCTCACACAGGTGGGTCTGGATGGGCCTCGCAGGGGTGGGGGGCGTCCAGGGGTCTGACTGGGCCCAAAGGTAAGGGCTTCAGATGCACAAATGCAGAGCAGGTCCTACCTGAGCAGGGGGTGAGCAGCTGGACCACGGCGAGGCAGACAGGGAGGGCAGGCAGACGGAGGACCAGGCGCCTCACCATCGTTCCCTGCTGGACAGAGGGAGACGCCAGCAGGGGCTGGGCGGCAGTGACGACCTGGGAGAAGGTGGAGAATTCCACATGGAGACGGTGCCTCCCCAGGGCAGACAGGGGGCGTGCAAACGCAATGGCTGCTGACCCAGAGTCTCCTCTGCAAACGTCTCCTGGGGATTTTCTTCACCTTGGACCCAACAGGGAAATCACCCATGAAGTAGGGAATGGTAATGGACGTACCTTAACCCTCTCCACCAGGGAGTGCGGGGCTCTCCTGTGGGAACGAACTCAGAATCCCTCCACTCACCCTCAGTTCCTGCCACAGCCAGGTGCGCGCCCCAAAATCACCCTCTGAGGAAGGCAGGCCCCTCCCCTCTGAGTCCCTGATCCCACTGCTGCCCCCTGCAGGCCGTGCTCCGCACAGCAGAAAGGACCTCCTGACCCCTCACCTCGCTGCTACTCAGCCGGATCTTTATGCTCTGGGAGATCTGCTGACCTTCTACTAGTTATCTGAGCAGACTGCGTTGCTTGCACTTTGTCCTCAAAAGGAGAACTCTCAGCACTGGCTTCTCGTGTCTTTGTTGTGTGTGTGTGTTTTTTTTTCTTTCCATTTTCGTCGTTACAAAAGCCCCTGCCTGTGTCCAATTGTTCGGACGTTCTTTGAGCTGAGACCCCATATTCTGGAGCTGCAGGCCCTTGAATGGACCTACTTTCCTCCCACCAGTCCCTGTCTCTCAGTTATTGGCTTTCAAACAGCAGGAAGGCGAACCTGGGTTTGATATCAACTTCTCTTCTGGAATCTCCTAGAACACGTTCCCAGAGACGAGCAGGAGAGACTGTGAGGGGCCTTGCCCCTCTCTGACCACAGGAAGTTCCCAGGGATGGGCAGGTGTCCAGCTCCCTGGTTCCCGTTGTCTCCCTCCCACAGGTGTCCCAGTGCAGACCTTACCTGCCCTGCTCCACGCTCCCCTTGCGGGCTCAACAACTTCTCAGCCTCCCTCCCAAGGGGCCCTGGGGCCCTGGCTCTCACCAGCTCCCCACAATTACCCTTCGTTCTTCCAGCTGAACATCCCAGGGCTCAGGCACTGGGACGTTCTCCATTAGAGTTGAGTCTCCGACCCGGAAGGAGGGTGGGGACAAAGACAGCTTCCTTTCTGGCAGAAACAGGGCCAAGTCCCTGTGTGAAGATATTCCTTTGATTGGCTCGAAGCCATATGTCTCATCAGTTGCTGGGCAGAAACCAGTGGGCAAGGTTGGCGTGAAGCAGGATCCCGTGTTGGGTGGACCAGTGCAGACCAGCTCCAGCCCTGATTCCCACCCTCTGGGTCTCTCTGTGTGCTCACCTGCGTGAATCAGTTCTGGGTGTGGGTGTGTGTGAGCAGTACCTCACTGCACACACCTGCTTCATGTCACTTGTGTCACAGTGTGTTCAGCAGAGGAACCAGGACAGAGCAGCAGAGGGCAGTGTGGGAGCAGAGGAGGGTGCAGGAGTTACAGGGTCACTGTGGTCGTTTGCCAACGACTTTGACAGCAGAGCCCAGTGCAGGTGTGACAGAGAGAGGGCAGGCCCCCGCCACCTGTCCTGGCCCCTGTGACACTCAGGTCTCAGATCCACTCCCAGGCTGCACCGTGTTCAGGTTCCCACGGGCGGTGCTGTCAGGGGCCGATGGGCAGGTTCCAGGTTTTCCAGGGAAGGTTCATGGGGGCGTTGCTGAGAAGGTCCATCCATCCTCTGCCCCTCATCTGAGCTGCACCTGGGTTTCAGGTGTGCTCACTTCTCTCTGCTGCAGGATCTGTGTTCTCTGAGGTTGGACAGGAGAGGCTGTGAGTGTGTCTGTCAGGGGACTTGGGGACCAGCAGGGTCTGCCTGTGGCCTGGGGCCTCCAGAGACACTGTGTTTAGGTCTCAAGTGCGTGAGTTGAGCCCCCAGGGCAGAGTGTGGCCGTGGCTGATGGACTGTGATGCATTCCATCGTGTGAATGTGGGTTCTGGGGTGGAGGTGGCTGCTCCCTTGTGCCACTTCTGTTCCCTGCTGCTTCTCAGTGAACAGACCTTGTTTCTGAGGGGAAGGTACTTCATGTGTCCATCCCTGTCAATGATGGGAGTTTCTAGGGCACAGGAGACAAACACAAGGCCCAACGACCAAAACCGACCCTCTGCTTCGTTTTATCCGGCCCAGCAGCTAGTTTCTACCTGGCATCAGTGCTGAGCTCCTTGCCCCTAATAAGGAGCAGTTACATTTATATGGTCCTAAAATTACATTCTGCTCTTTAAAGGCAACTGTGAGGCTGATGTGGCCCCTATGAAAATGAGTTTGACAAACCTGAATTCTAGGGACTAATTTTGAGCTGATGGTTTGCAGGTTGAAGTTGTTGGTTGTGTTTCTCAAGAGACCCACACTCCCCCCACTTCTTCCTTCCTGTTGGGTGGACACCGTCTCTGGAGCTGGAGCTCAGCAGCCATCTTATCACCAAGAGGCCACCTGGGGATGGAAGCCACACACAGAGAGGGCAGAGAATGGAGACAGGTGGAGGCTGGGGCGTGGATGCCTCTCTGAGCTCTCACACCAGCCCTGGACCGCCGCCCTCTGGGGTCATCTCCCATGACAGGAACGTGAACCCGTGTTTAGTTGAGGCCCCGGGCACCTCTGGTCTCTGTTACCAGTAGCAGAACACGGCTCTTCCCGCCCCACCCACTCTGTCAGCAGTTTGTCGGGAAAACTACAAACACAGAACGCAGTTCAGGGAATGTTTCAATGAACACTGGATGTACCTACTGCTTGTTTTTTAATGGTTTCTCTTTTTCCTTTTTTAAATTGCACTATAGTTTTAAAATTTGAATGGATTGGGGTGCTATTGATTCACAAACTCAGTTTTGAAGTGTAGAACCCAATAAAACTTCATCTGCTCACTGCTTTGTGCACCTGTCATTGCAAGGAAAGTCCCTTTCTGCCCCCATTTTTTGTCCCTTTGCCCACCTCCACCCACCCCTCCCCCCTGGCTGTCACCACACAGGGGTGTGTGTGTGTGTGTGTTTCTGGCTCATGCCTTCACCTTCTTCCACTCAGCCCCCCACCCCTCCCTTCTGACGGCTGTCAGTCTGTCCTGTGAATCCAGGCCTCTGCACACGCACTGTTGAGGGTCCACAGTGCACGTTTATAACACACGCTTACTTCATAGTCATCCATCCTTCTGTTGATGCCCCTTATGCTTACTCATCTGGAGACTTTTAAAGTAAGCTGGGAAGCATCAGTACACCTTCCCCTGGGAACTTTCACACACACCTGTCATGGAGAACTCAGTCTTGAAATGCGTGAGGCACCGAAGCTGTGTTTAAAACGTGGATGTAGGAGTAATTTTCAGTCCTAATTTCAAAACACTCAGTGGGTATCCCTCGCTTCTAAATGTCTAGTCTCCCTCCTTTTACGGACAGTCTGGCCCAGGTCCCTGGCCCCTCCTCCTAAGATCAAGGCCACCTCCAATGTTCTGTCAGCAGGATGCTCCCCACAGCCTGACACAGGACAAGCACCCACTCAGGCCCCTTCCCTTGGTCCCCTGGCATCTGATGACAGAGGTTCTGGCTTCACTGCTGATGCCACAGCAGGGGACTGTCGTTCCTGGGGACCTGTAGGATGTGGGCCTCCATGAATCCCCTCAAGAATGGCAGTGTGAACCCTGAGAAGAAAAGACACCATTAACAAGAGGTCTTGGTGAGCAACTGGGCTCACACATTGAAGAACAGAGCCTGGCGGCCATTTCTGCTCAGGGTCCCTCCCACAAACTGGACGTCACAGAGAGAGGCCTGCACTGGGCTGCTCCCCTTTGCACTGACCCTTCCCGCAGGTGATTCTTCCCGCTGAGCCCGCCCTTCTTTAGAAACCTGCCAGAAGCCCACTTCAAGCAATAGGACCCCGGCTTCCAATTCCAGTCACAGGTGTGCAGCCCTGGCCAATCACAGCGGCTCAAACAGGACAGTGGCCTTCAGACCAATCAAATTGTAGATCTGGAGTCCTTGTTTGCCTGACAGCGGACCAATGAGGGACTAGGAATGGAATTTCTGTCCAGGTAACCAGGTCCCCCTCTGTGTCAGAGACGCAGTTTCTCTTCCCACCTGAGACTGAACCTGGAGCAGAGGGGGCACGTTTCTCCCAGGGCAGAGCAGGGGCACAGAGCTGACTGGGGGCAGCTGTCCAGTCACCCAGTGGTCTGGTCCCTGGGCCTCTTGTGTCCAGGACAGTCCCACTGCCCCGTTCCCACGTCGCTGCTCCGTCCCAGTGGAGCTGATTTGCACGGAGCAGATCCCCTCCCTGCCCCCCAGTCTGGGGGTCACTGTTGCTGTGGAATCGGCCGGGACCGTGGGCTGCTGGCAGGAAGGTGTGGAAAGGCATGAGGTTGATTTGAGAAATTAAATAAAATGTGTGCGTGGGCCTTACAGTACAGAGAAGTGAGACTGTATATCAACTCTCCCTGCCTGTGATCAGGCTGGGGCGACAGGCGTGTCCCTCCCAGCCAACCCCACAGGGGACAGGAAGTGACTTTTCTGCCCAGGTCAGGCTGCAGCCACAGAGTGGGGAGGAGCCCCTTCTCTGAGGGCCCCCTGCTGTCTCACCCACAGACTTCGTCCACGGAAAGCTTTGCTGCTAGAAGTAGTATCAGCAAGAGGGACGCACCCGAGCTTCGTCGGGAGCACCCCGGTTTCTCTGACACAGAGAAGTCGCCTCGTTCCCAACCTGATGGGAGCTTCTGGGCAGATGGTTTCTCACCTCTTTAGAGTTTCCCGGGATCCAGGGTCCCAGGCGCAGTTCTCACCCAGACCTGTGGGTGGCGCTGGGAGGGAAATGGGTGTGAAATGGGCCAACAAACAGAGACATATCCAATTTTCACCTGGGCATTGCAGATCATCTGTTCTGCTCCGTGTGTGACGGGCGTGGGGGGTGAGGAGTGTGGATGGGGCGGTTATTGTGCGCCAAGGCCAGATGCCCTCCAGAGATGTCGTCTCGGCTGCAGGGTGGGCAGTTTCTCACGGAGTCAGGGCACCGGTAAAGGCTGGTCCGGGCCCTGA